GTTTTTTCAACATTGTCGTTCCCAGAGGCCGCGCTTCTTTTGGTCAGCACCAAGAATCGCGACCTCTGGAGGGTCCAACAACGGAAATACGCGATTCATGGACTTCCCGTCACTCTGCGCATGCTCAGAATCAAGTATGGCAAATTTGATCGGCTGAGAATACGAAACGATTACTCTGAGCATGCTCAGACCAGAGGTCGTGATTCTTGGTGCTGACCAAAACTAGCGCAGCCTTTGGGAACGAGAATGTTTTTTCAAGTAACTTCTCTCCTGCAAATATTTCACTGGCCAGGAAATCAAATCCAGCTACAGTAAGGGTACTGATCCCCCAAGGCCCGCCCTTCCGCTGAAAACACCCACCCCCACTCCCCAGATAAAGTATAGATATGGTCCCGAAAGCACACACCTCAAGTAGGTTCAGTGTGGTCTGAGATCAACATTTTGACCAGGAATCGTTTGCTGAGAAGAGAAAGTTGAGATATTTCTGCCGGAAAACCGAAGCAGATATAGACTATAGCCAGCATCTGGAAGAATTGTTTTAAAAATGCTTGTTTGTTGGTTACTTCATAGCCGTCATCTATGGACCCAGATTAGCTCCTTGTGTGCCCCTGAAGATATAATTGGACATGCATCAAAGGCTGTCCTCAAAGATTTATGTAAATAATTCTTAAGTCCTTAATTAACCCTCTAATTATAACTAAGTGTTAATTAATCCCTGTGATTGAATATATACGGAACAACTTTTTGCAAAACGAATTCTGGGTCCCATTTGAATTCACTTGCATTTGACGCATGGCAATGAGCTGAGAGGCGTTCCACATAGCTGGAGCCTTTGAGAGATACTACTTATGGTCATTGCAGTCTAACTTTCACTGTTATGATATTAATAAATTATTTTTTCAGGTCTAAACAAAACAGCGCCTACTTACTCAAAATAGGTTCTGTGAAGACTGCTGTGTTTTGTCACATGACCAGTCTTGGCGCATGTGGTGGAGGTGGATGGACGCTGGTCATAAAGATGAATGGCGCACAGGTATATCTCACTTCTGTTGTACTGTCCGTTAGTCCCCCACTTGCCAGATTCAAACCTGGGGTGTAGCATCCTTGCATATTTTAGATGCCATTAATTTGGATCGTGATTTTGTTTGATAGATTTACCTAATGCAGTAAGGCTAATTTCCAGCGATTTCATTTATAGTAAAACGTGTGATAAGATCTTTTTTATTATTATTATTAAAACATAGAAAACTTTTCACTACGATTCTAAACTCTGGAGCAACAAGGAATCATTCAACCTTGAAGCAGGGGAGACTGGGTTTGACTTACAAGAGACCAAGTTACCGACCTATTGGAACACTCCCTTCTCCAGGATATGTCTTGGAATGAAGTTCGACCATGAGAATAGGTTCATTGCTCTCACCAAGGCTGCCAGCTCTCTGTACTCATTGATTGCTGACGGGAAATATCGTAGCACCTCACTGGGTCGTGATACGTGGAAGTCGCTGATTGGTTCACAGGCTTCCTTACAGACCAATTGTAACAAGGAAGGATTCAATGTTGTAAGCGACTCCGGCGATGAATATTGGCCTAAAGCAAGGATTGGCATTGTTGGTAACGAAGGAAATGACTGTTACACTTGTGATTCAAGAATCGGATTCGGTACAGGAGGTTACCCTGACAACGCCACTAGTTGTGGAAACAGCGCTAACGGCTTATACACGGCAGTAACTGCAAACATCAATGCAACGGGATACATTTTGGTGCAATGAGACCAACAACTAGAATCGGGAACAGAACCTAACGATTACAACTACGGGAATGACAGTGATAAAACTGATGCTAGTTAACGATAACAAAGCTGATAATGACACTGGATTATCTCGATAGCGCTAATCTTAACGTCTCACTTTAATTTAGTTTCCACTGAACAGTACACTTCCTTCAATGATGAGAGTTCTAACCCCTTTTCGATAAGCCCCC